GGACTCTTTGTAGACCAGGCTGGCCTTGAACATTGTTTTTAAGACCAGGTCATATGCCACACTGCTGAGAGTGATGTCTACAGTGGCCTTCACTTCACAGAACCTAGTTTCCCAAATTATGACACCGTGAATAGCAAAAAGCAGTGAGTAGCTGTCAAGATAGCTGAGTACTTTTATAATTCTTCTCCTTTGATCAACTCAAAATCCAATGACCAGAAGCTCTAATTCATTCTATCCTGGGTACTTTATGAACAAAAGTATGTCCTTATTAACCTTTAGTTTGGGTAAGGTGAAAAGATACAAATTAAAAAAAATTAGTAACAGGATTCTAGCAACACTAAACTACCAGCACTCACTTGGTAAAGGAACAGATTTATTTTCTTATTGGAACATGTGAATGGTTGGTTTCTGCCATACCAAGGCACCCTTATCTTTAAAAAGTTTTATAACCTTCATTGGATCTGTTGGCAATTTCATACACATATATTCTGATTACTCTAATCTCTCCTCCTCAATCTCTCCAATCTCCCTCTCATACTTCTCCAATCTGCCTGTCACGAAGTTTAGTTCCATTCCTGTAATTCCATTTCAAACACTGTGGTCTCCTTTTTGCTTTGAGAGGCACTGAGTCTACACAGGATCATTTGTGTGACCATGAGCTTGGAATTATCCACTGGAGTCAAGCTGAAAGTGCTCAAAATAACTGACAGCTGAGTGCTTGGTTCTAAACAGAACACTTATAGCACACATCAATATTTCTAAGGCTCAGGGATCATTGTGGAAGAGGGGGCAGGGAAGTGTAAGAGCTGGAAGACAAAGAAACGGGACCGCAAGGGGCCAAAGGGATGATTCATTGGCTAACGGCTCTCGCTGCCATGCCTAACCACCTGAGTCTGATGCCCAGAACCCACATGGTAGGACAGAACTGACTCATACAGCTGTTCTCAGACCTCCTCACACTTGCAGTAGCATGTGCACGCTTTCACACACACTAAACAAATGTAAAGTATATGTATATATGCATGTGTGTGTGTATATATGTATATACAAAATAATATTCTGATGATTAACTATGAGGATACAAGGCAAATAAGGTCTCCACGAAGTTGTTTTGTTTTTTTTTTTAATAATGATTTTCAATTACAATCAAGGGATTAAAAGCAGATAGTTTTAAACATCATAGTTTAAAGAGGAAGAAAATATTTCATTCATTTATTGAAGGAATATTAGGTACAACACTCAAATCAGGCAATGCATTAAATAAGTCATTGGGCTTTTATTGAATTCCTAACACATTTCGGAATTTCTGTTTCTTCAGTTTTTATTTTCTAGTGGGGAGACAGAATATGTACATAGCTTTCAGTTGCATATTATGACAAATAGTTATTGGGTAAGAAAGACTCTAGGTGGTCTGAAAATACACAGGATTGACTATGTACTCTGGGCTCACTTAAATGAGGGTCTAGGGAACCAGTGATTCCAGCTGGAAATGGAAAGATGGCTGAAATATAGTCTTGCACACTTCATAGACTTGCACACTTAAGAAGTACAAACAATACCTCTTCTGTGGTAGTCACTGTGTTAAGAATCTGGGGATTCTAAAGTGAATACAACCACACACCAATGGACAATGAAACGGGCAATTATAGCAGTGTGACAATAGAACAAAGTGTTTGGGAAGTACAAAGCTCAGTGAGTGGATTAGATAAAGGCGAAAAAGGTGTTATCGGAGGTAGGAATGGTGTCAAAAAATCTGAATTCAGCTGAGCTAGAGAGTAAAGAATGTGATGCTTAATGCCAGTTGTCAACTCTGTATGAGATCTGGAGTCACCCAGGGAATGAACTCTGGGCATGCCTATTAAAGATTATATGTATTTTTAACTTTTTTTATTTTTTATTAATTACACTTTATTCATTTTGTATCCCCCCATAAGCCCCTCCCTCCTCCCCTCCTAAAGATTATATTAATTTTCACTAAAGTGGGAGGACCCAATGTGGGTTAGACCAGTGTGGGTGGCACTATTCCCTATGCTGGGGTCCTGGGCTGTACAAAAATAACAAAGTGAGCTGGCCACAAGCATTCATCAGCCTCCACTTCTTCTCTGTAGATGCAATCTGAACTGCTACCTCAAGCACTGGCCTGTGAAGCAAACTAAACCCATACGTCTTAAGTTGCCTTTGTCAAGGTATTTTTTGTCACAGCAACAAAGTTATTTTATACACACTAAAGCAAAACAAAACAAAAACTAAGACAAGATTTTATTTCAAAGCGACATGAAGAAATCAAACAAAAAAAATTTAATGGATGCTAAGAAGTATAGCTCCACGGTACAGTATGAGTCTGGAACACATAAGGTTTGGGGTTTGATCCACAGCACCACATATATACTCATTGAAAGGAAGAAATGAAGCACGTTTGTGCACTGAAATACCTAATAAGGAGTGAGAAATAGTTGAAACAAAAGTACAATCGCCTTGTCCCTAGAGGAATTGTAGGTGTATTACATGTGAGCAGATGGCAGAGAGCCAAGCTGTATCTACTTCTCTGTGTACATCTGAATGATGAGTAGCCTAACATTCCCAAGCCTGAGTCAACAACCAGTCTGGCCTCTGGACAGAGAATTAGCCTGCAACGAGCACCAGTCCATTGCCCTCGACAATCTCACAAACTGGGAAGGACCGCTGGGACCACAGGCCTCAGGCCACAGTGAGTCCCAGACAGATGACCCTCGCATGGGGCCATGTGTGCAGCCTGACCAAGGAGCATGTCCTACGCGACCACCCTTCTGGTGCCATAGGGCCTAGATGGAGCTGGCCTAAGATGACCGCCAGTCCGGTGCCCAGGTCATGCCCAAGAAAACCTGTCTGGTGTCATAATGCAGGGGTGGGGCATAGCACTCCAGAGACCTCTCCTGAGATGACCCCAGACACTTAGAGACCCTGGCTGCCCCTGTGAGAAGCAAGTAGGTGGTGAAGAAATGGAAGAGAAAGAGAAACAGAAGGATATGGGCACAATGAAGAGAGGAAGAACTGGAGTTTGACAGTAGTGAGCAACAGCCTGATGTGAGTAGCCAGTGATGCCACCTGGGTCCTGGCCTGAGCGGCCACTGGGGACAATGTGTGTCCTTGGCTCTGTAGCAGCCGTGGTCTGTTACCACAAAAGGCCAGGTGGCCGTCCCTGGTCTGGGCTGCCAGAGGGCCCTGCACCTCCTGTGTCAGCACAGTAGAGCTGACTGGTAGCAGGATGTTTGTGTGTGTGTGCAGGAGCCAGCCAGCCCAAGGGCATGACATTGTGAGAGCTGGCCCTGTAACTTGTCTGCCCTGTAGTGACATGGGTGAGGAAGAGATGCCCCCCATTCTCACTCCTTGCCACCTAAGGCAGAAGAACTGGCCCCAGTGGTCATTAGGGTGAAAGATCTGGCCCTAGCCCTCACCTACTCAGGAGAGCAGGCCATGTACCTTGCCTGGGCAGACTAGAGCTGGCCTTGGATGTAGGGGCTGTGGATTAAGCGGGCTCTGAGGGTGAGAGGGGGCCCTGCCTCTTGTTCGCCGTGCAGTGCCACGGAAAATGGTGAGATGCCATCTACAGCAGGCCGTGGGGTCACAAGGGCGGGAGAACTGGCCCTGATCCTCAACAGCTGCAGCACTCAGGACAATGGACCCTGTACTGTTGTAAGAAATTTAAAATGGCGGGTTGTTTTTCGAGGCAGAAAACTAGTCTTATTCAATAAGGTTTATGACACAACTGAGCAGTATTAATCAATTTTAATCCTCTAAGCTAATCTGACTACCTCCAGCCCAAGTCCCCAAGATAATTTTTATGGCTTTCTCTGCTCAGCTGTTTTATCATGATCTCTCCTCATGGCTGAAGCCTCTCTTCTCCCTTCACTGGAATCGGAAATCCAGCCCTATTCTCTCTTCTCTCCTCCATTCAATCACTGGCTGTTCAGCTTTTATTGACAAATTGGATAATAAATTGGGAGCCATGTTTACACAAACTTGAGACAGGAAATTCTTAGTCTAAGGATTGCATTGCCATATCCAGATTGCAACCAGTCAGAGAAATCAGCATTTGAATAACGTAAGGATAATTTACACACTGCACAATAACAACACTATGCCAACATTGTACCTTGCCTGGGAAGCAGGGTAGAGTTGGCCCTGGTTGCAGGGGCTGTGAGTGAGCAGGCCCCAAGGGTAAAAGAGCAGGAGAACCATCCTGGCCTCACGCCTGCTGCAGTCCTTAGGAGAGTGGGCCCTGCATCTGGCCTGTGTAGCACAGTAGAGCTGGTCCTGATGCCATCGGTATTGACCAGCTAGCTTCAAGTGCTAGCTGGCTCTGCCTCTTGTTGGCTGTGGCATTGGATGAGCCAGCTGGGGCAGGGTAGGAGAGCTGTGGGTGTGGGAGAGCTGACCAGCTCAGATGCCTCCCAGGCCCTATTCTAGGGCTCTGAGTTGGCCCACCCCAATATCAACCCCATCTATGAACTGCTGAAGTGCTTGAAGAGCCCTGTCCTACAGATCCAAAACTACAGGATCACCTTGACACAGGGCAACAAAAAGATATCTGAGGAGTCTCAGTGAGGTTCCAGTATTGATAGTATAATAGAAGCCAGAGGCCTCAGACCAGACCAATGACTCATTGTAATAAACATTTGCAAGCAAAGAAATATGGACAAAAGGGTATACTGTGGGACACATTGTTACACACCACAGCTTTCATGAGATTTTTTTTTTCCTCTGTTGAGGGGTAGGTTGCAAGGGTGGAGGGCGTGTATGAAGGATTGGGAAGATGAGTGAGATTGGGGTGCATGATGTGAAATTCACAAAGACCCAATAAGAAGTCTTGTGGTCCAAGTGATATCCTTGACTAGGTCTGAGGTCTGAAATAGGTCTAAAGAACAACCAAACAGAAATGGTTTAACTAGTGGTTCTCAACGTGAAGTTTCTATACTAACAGCAATAGCCAAGACCAACCCAAAAGCAGAAGCACAATCTGGTCATTTGAGAAGTCAGCAAACACATGTTTATTGAAACACGTTATCCAGAACAGCCAAATTTTAGAATCAGCCAACATGTTTATCAACAAATGAATAGATAAGGAATGTAGTAATGACAGACAATGGGATTTTATTTAGTCAGAAGAGAGTGGAATTGTACTACTGGAGTAGACAGAATTGGACGGCATCACATTAAGCCATACTCAAAGGCAATCACATTTCTCTCATATCCAGAATGTGGATCAAAATATCAGGGGCATCATTTGGGAGAAGGGAGATGACTGGGGAGCACAAGAAAATATAATGTGGGGCGAATATTGACGTACATGATATGTATATGAAACTGACAGAAAACGCACTGTTTTCTAGCAAATAACACACTAAGAAAAAACAACCAAGGGCCCTGGTCAGAACTCAGGGAGTCTCCAGGGATGGCTAATAACCAGAGATGGGAGCGTTGCAACATGGCCAGACGTTACGATTGCACTTATCCTGGTGCTCAACATGGATGCTGGAGCAACTGCTTCATTTATTGCTTACAATCAGCAGTTTATTTTATTGCAGTCAGTCGCACAAACACAAGCATATTCACTTTACAGACTCTGTAGGAGAGCCATAGGGCACCTGTAACAGCAGTAGTTTGAGGAAAACACTATGAGTTCCTGGTGACAGATAACAAAAAGCATCCTAGAGAATTAACCAAAAAGTTAGGCTTCTGGTTTCTTTTTCTTTTTTTTCTTAAACAAAATAAAACATTGCCCACTGATAATCTGTCAACTCTTAAAAAGGAGTAGAAACAAATGGCAATTTAAAAAAAAATCTGATATACTGTAATGAGTCACACTATCTTAATCCTGGAAGTAGTTTGAGTTTTACACACCTTAGCAATTACAACACTTGCCTTCTTTGTTACTGTATGATGAGCCAAGATCGTCCCTAAGCAAAGATGCAAATTCCTCAAAGTACTTTATTTATTTTTTTGGGAGGAGAGGGGTTACCTGGCTTACATATCTTGAATCACATACACTGCACATTTATATTGCCATCATTGTTTCGCCAATAAGAGTTCCAAAGTTCTCTAAATCCAGTTTAATTTTTACAACTTTTTTATTTGATTATACTTACTTAAACAAACAAACAAACATGATTTATACTTATTTGATTGTTCCATAGCCTAAGAATAACGGAAACATGGTATAAGTAATTTTTTTTCTTTTGACATTCAGATTTGCTATGACAGGTAATGTCCTTCTTTACACATGATTCTTTGAATGATTCTCCCATAATTTCTTAAAGAGAAATTCCTAGAGTACCAAAGTGCATTGAATACTTATTTGTAAGCCTCAGATACACTGTACCAACAAAATGCCCTCCAGAAAGATGGCGCCGATTTCCAGACAGTCACATTTCAAGCTCATGCTTATTCGTTAGCAGTGTAGGAAAGTGGGTGTTCTCAACAGTCTTCGCTGCTGTCAATTAATAGGGAGAAATGAGGCTGATTCGGTCTTGGGCTTTGCCCCTTACATTTCTGCTGGCCGTTAGCTTTCCTTCTGGGTCCTGGAGGTGTCGGTATCTCAGTGGAGTCTCTAACAGTATACTCTCTCTTTCTTAACACATGCTCTTCTTTCCAGGCAAAGGCTTGAAGGCTGCGTATCTTCCCCATTTTTATGCAAAATCCCCCATGGATTAGAAGTAGAAAGTCTTCTTATGGCAGCCATGCTGTTTTAATGTCTTGGTGGTAAAACAGAAAACTGGGCCATGTTCTGAAAGGAAGAAAGTAAGCAGAGGTGACAGGCGTTACAGGCAGCAGAGAGCATGCTAACTCCCCCTAACACTTCTTAAAGAGCAACAAGCCAAGCCTTGAGACTTTGGGAATTATAGCAAGGATTTCTGGGATACATATTTATCAAAACTCTTCAGATAATCCCTCTGTTAACTTGAAATTCACTACGTAGGCCAGGCGGACCCTGAACTCACAGAGATCTGCCTGCCTCTGCTTCCCAAGGGCTGGCATTAAAGGCGTGCGCTGCCACACTCTGCAGCTAGGTACTGTTCTAATCTGGAGCTTGACACACAGCAGACAGTTTGCTGTTTCTGGAATGAACTAGTGAGTGAATGAATGGTACACATTTCAGTGCTTTGATGACTGAAAGTATGTTTCAGAGCAAAAATTATTAGTAGTGTGTTCCTTGCTATTCCAAAGTGGAGGCCACAGCACTCAATTCTGTCTAAACAGTAATTCTTCATTTCTTCAACCTTTTATTTCATTTGCAACTTAATGAATAGTACTCTTAAACCACTTTAAAAATGAGTATTTACAAGACCAAACATCAGCTTCAAAAAGATCACGGATTTGTATCGTCTAAGCATGTCCCGGCATTTCTTTTTAAGGAACTGACTTCGAGTATAAAAACCACAGTGAGCATACGGTTAGTGGGAGAGGAAAAAGTTCACAACTGGATCATGTCATATAAGCCCAACGCTGACTCGGAAGAGAACACAGTGAGTCACAGTTCCAGCAAACCAACTTCTGAGTGACATCTGTTCGAAACTACCTGTTTAGTTCAAACCACCATTTTGTAATTGGTAGATTGTCATCTCGTGTCTTTCACTACCCCTCCCGGAATTAGAACAATCACCAGGTCTTTTTGTATCTTAGCTGTGACAGAATACTTCATGGAGGAAAATTATGGCAGCTTCTATAGACCTTTCCCATCCTCTTGCAGTGACTGATCCAGGAGTACAGATAAGCTCTAGGCCACCTGGAAGCACTTCCTCTTTAGATACAAGAGAAAGCTGAAGTGAAATGAGTGAGTCTCCTTATTACTCTAGTTAATCAAGTCACAAAATGTTCAAATAAAAATGGCGCTCTCTAAACTTCCCAGCCAGTATAAATTATATCCTTAGGATAAATACCAGAGTTGAGAATTTACCAATCTGCAACTTGTTATCTGCTTATCATCAAAAATCGTCTTAATTTCATATAATATTGGCCTGAAGCAGATACTTCCCTCTCTTTTGTCATTGATATATTAGAAGAATAGGTTGTAGAGGCCTGTCTACACTCTGAATGAATGTAACAATGAGAAAACGGCTGAATACACGGAAAGCCATATACAGAGGAAACTCATCAGCCTTCTGAACGAAGACAACTCCAGGACAATGTAAAGAACCCGGGGCACTAGATACCGAATCTCCTGCCTCAGGTTCTGGCATTATCAGTTGCAAGTAGAGGGAATAGTAGCAAGGGTATAAATGCTTGTTAAACAAAATGCTGACTTGCATAAAATACATGAGCTGGACCAAGCTGAAAGGGAAAATATGGTTAAAGGCCATAGAAGTCTCTGCCCACAGATGTAAGGACACTTACCTTTAGGTTATGGAGAGTTTCTGACCATTCCATTGACCCTATTTGAGGTATGGTAGTAAGGAGTAAACTTTTGGCTTTATTGGCATTTTCTTTCATGGTCTTCAAAACCCCATCCACTGACACCTGGACAAAGAAGAACACAGACTTTTACTAGCATTAACCAAGAACACTTACCCAAGTCCCTGTTTTGCTATTGTGTGAAATGTCTGTGTGCCTTCCAAATTCATCTGAAGAAATTTTAGTTGTCTTTGTGAGGGTGTTGGGGAGAGGGGACATCAGCTGGTAAGCTCAGGCTCTTAGGAACGGTTGTCTGGGATTACAGTGAGCTCCCGACCACGGTGGTCTGAATGAGAATGGCCCCACAGGCTCATCTATTTGGATGTTTGGTTCCCAGTTGGTAGAACTGTTTGGGAAGGATCAGGAGATCTGATCTTGTCACTGGGGCAGGTACTGAGTTTCAAAAGCCCACACCATTCCCTGTAGCTCTCTCTGTCTCGCTCCTGTGGCTTACAATGTCAGCTTTCAGCTACTGTTCCAGGGCCATGGCCGCTGCTTGCTCCCACCCTTCCTGCCATGATGGGCAGATAGGGACTCACCCTCTGAACTGTGAGCCTCCAGTAAACTCCTACTTCTGTAAAATATCCTGGTTATGGTTCTTATCACAGTCATTTAAAAGTAACTAACACACAAACTATGAGTCATGTGAGGTTCGGTGAGAATATGACTGTGAAATGGGTTCTTACCAGACATACAGTCAGTCACTCTTGATCTTAGACTTTTCAACTTTCGATCTTAGATTTCTTTTTGGTCTAGAAGCTACTTTTAATGGGGTTTTCTTACCACTGTCTGAGTAGAGTAAAACTAACCTGTGCTGTGAAGTCTGTTTATTCCAAATTTAATCCCCTGAGCCCAAACACTGTTCTTTACCATATGGCAGCCCAATGTTATTTCTGAAAAGCCTGAGAAAATATTATAGATGTCAAGTAGCAGCAGCAGCAGCAGCAGCTGTCGCTGCCACCACTCTTCCTGGTCCACAGAAAAGTGAATTTTAGCCTAAATTGTATTATACCAGATAACTAAACAGGAGCTGAGTATTCTAAGAGCATTTTTGAAGAAAAACAAAAATGGTCAAAGTCTGATCATTTTTGAATCCTAGTAAATGGACTGTTGGTTAACACCACAAATTACACCCAAGATCCGGAAGGAATGAACAAACCAGGACACACTACCCCAGAACAAAAACTTCAACTCATTCTACGTTTCCAGTCACAAAACATCATTATGACACTTAATTTTCCTTCTGTATCTAGATCCAGCACCCAATACCTAAGACAGAGACACAAGTGTAAGATGAAGCTGTTGGAACCTACAGTGTGGGAGACTCAATAGGACTAGGGCCTTGGTTCCTTCCTTCCTTTTCCTTGTTCCCCACTTTTTTTTCGGGGGCGGGGGGCTCACTCTGTAGCGAAAGCTGGTTTCAAACACACGATTCCCATTTCTGTTTCCCCCAAAATGCTGCTATTCAGGTGTGTGCCAACTATGCTTGGCATCTCAGTTTCTTTACAAAAACCACTTCTAGGATGGGGACGTAGCTCAGTGGTAGAATGCTTACCCAGGATAAAAAGGGCCCTAATAAATCGTATCTCCAGAAACTGGCGGTGGTATGTGTGTGTGAGAGATGTGCCTGCACTTGTCTGTTAGGACGTGCATGTCACTTAAGATACTTAACTAGAATTTTGCTTGAGTGTATTAAGTAATTATAACGTAATTGTATTCTAATTACTTAACTACTTTCTGTGATGTTTCTGAATTAAAGTTATGAAACATGACTAGGTATAAACTGGTATGATGACTTAAGAGGGTGGTTGGGTTCATAGGTACGCATGCTATTATCGACCTTTTGTTCATGAATGAACTGGTTCATGTGAGGAAGCCAATCAAGCCCAGAATCCTTGCCAAGCTTTACCCTGATTAGAAGACAATTCAGATCCAAGGACAAGATGATCACATCTTTGTGTCCTCCGAAGGATCGCTTCCACAAACATGAAGACGTGGTGAGAAGGCAGGAGCGCCACAGCGGCAGAAGCTCTGCCACAGTGTGGCACATACACAAAGTTACGCTAAGTCATTAAATGCAGGGGCGTCTGGCAGCCAGGGACTCACCTTATTTATTCCTTTTTACTCATTTCCATATACTTTCCTTGTGACTCTGAACTTTCTCTGTTTCTGTTGTTGGGTTCCACTCAAAATGCCCTTCCTATTGACCCTGTGACTCACAGCAGCAACCTAACCCTCACTTCAAGGGCGAGGCCAAACCTCCAAGCCTGGTTTCTTTGCACACCCACTCCATAGAGTTACTGGTGATAACACTCCTGTGAGTCAGCACGCTCCTAACCGCTTGTGCTCTGACTCGTGCCAGCCTCCCACAGGCTCATGTTTTGAACACTTCTTTCTCACTGAGCAGTGATATTCTGGGAGACTGTGGAGTCTTAAAGAGGCACATTGTAAATAACCTAGAAACCCAGCACAGATGTAGCCCATGGCAGCTCGGTGTCCAAGTGGGTTCCCTAGTAAGGGGAACAGAGACTGTCTCTGACATGAACTCAGTGGCCTACTCTTTGATCACCTCCCCCTGAGGGGGGAGCAGCCTTACCAGGCCACAGAGGAAGACAATGCAGCCACTCCTGATGAAACCTGATAGACTAGGGTCAGAGGGAAGGGGAGGGGCATGGGAGAAGAGGGAGGGAGGGCAAGATTGGGGAAGGAAGGACCAGGGAGGGGGCTACAGCTGAGATAAAAAGTGAATAAATTGTAATAAAAAAATTAAAAGTGAGGCAGGTTGTAGCTGACAAAAGTAGCTAGCGGAGGTGAGCTTCTGAAGGTTGTCTGACCACTCCCTCAGTCCTGCTCCTAAACAACATGAGCAGTTCTCACGTCTCTTTCATGGCTTGGATCTACAATGTCTATCAGAGGCTCCTGTTTTGGATGCTTGTCCTTCAGCCTTTGGAGCCCTTAGGACAGCAGTTCTCAGCCTTCCTAATGTTGCAACCCTTTAGTACAGTTCTCATGTTGTGGCCATCCAAACCACAAGATTATCTCTGTTGCTACTGCATACAAGCTTAATTTTGCTACTGCTATGACCTGTAATGTAATTACCTGTGTTTTCCAATGGTATTAGGTGATTCCTGTGAAACGGTCATTTGAACCCCCAAAGGGGTCATGACCCAGAGGTGGAGAACCAGTGCTAGGAGGTTGGCCTGATGGGTTGTTGCAAGGAACTGAGGCAATTGCCTTAGGAAGCTACTGCCCCATCCTCGTTCAGTGTAGCTCTCTTTCCTTCCTGGGCTGTGGCATAGGAGCTGATATGGTGGCCTGCCCATAAGCTGTTCTGTCAGATGTTTTGGTTACAGTGACCAAAAAAAAAAAAAAAAAAAAAAAAAAAAAAAAAAAAAAAAAAAAAAAAGCAGGGTCATTCTTTTGCTCTATGTCCTGTCCCTGGCTTCATTTCAGAGAAAACAACTAAATAAAATAACTTGCTGAGTGTCTCAAGGAAACTGAGGTAAATTTAAATCACTCCAGAACCTTGTCATGTCAGGCTGTACATTTATTTAAAGCACAATGACACGAAAGGCTGAGTGGATTCCATGTTTATGTGTCTTTCCTGTGGCATTTAACATGCCTTGTCTTTATGTCTTCCCACTGACAGAACTTTGTCCTCTCCTCTTTAGCCCTCAATGGCCTAACAGCTACCATGCTCCTCCTGCAGAGGAGGTGTCTAGCTTGAGCAGAAAATTTCCAGCAGGAAGCAATCTGCTGCCAGGAAGTGACGGGAGCTGATGTTCCCCATTAATTGAAAGCAGCTTCTCTGGATCATGGAGGTGGGAGTAGCTCACAAAGCTGCCAAGCCAGATATACTCAGCCTCCAAACACTCCTGTAAACACACAGTGATGCCTTCACTAAAACCAAAGACCCGGAATTCACTTGCTGCCCACCGTGTACACGCTGGCAGACAGACAACAGGACCGGATGACACTGCATTATGTATAACTGGATGGTGAATCAGGGGCTCTCTGAGACAGTGGCCCCCGAAGAGTCAAGCCCTGCAGATGAATGTTCTCAGCTACCCCCACGGTTCTCTCAAAAACCCTTTCATGCTTTTTCATCCCTTCTCTATTTTAAAGTGAGACAAGTAACAGGAAAATGATCTAGGACTTTTTTTTACAAGAGGAAGGAGCTCGAAATAACAGAGACTCAGCAGGGCCTGGTAGCCTGAGCCTGTAATCCTGGGTCCTTCAGAGGCAGAGGCAGGGAGGGCTACGGGAAGCTAAAACCAAGATGGGAGACTTAGTTGAAACCCTGACCCAGAATAAAAACATAGATTAAGAATGTGGCTACCAGAGTACCTTAGCATATGCAAGGCCTTAGGCTCAATTCTCAGTACTGTGGAAAGAAGAAATTAATTAAGGAGAGAGATTTAAAAGGCCTATCACTAATACAGAGCATGGGTTTAGAAAAGATCAAACTGCTAAAAAATTAAGTAATCAGAAGAGAAATTAGTCTAGAGATTCAATAAGAAATATCATTTATTTGTACAATTTGTGGTATAGCTGCTTCTGCTTTTGAACATAGAGGCCTTTTAAGAAGGCCCCAAAAGAGGGCAGGGAGGGAGGAGTGGATAGAGCCATGTGTTGCTGTGGTTGGCAACTATGGAACCTGAGACCTCTTTGTTTTATGTAACAAAAATACTGCCGTGGGCGGCCTTGTCTAGCACCCTCACTGACCTGTCTAGAATTCTTACCATGGTGCATGACCCTGTCACACTCGTTCTGACTTCTCCCTCCTCTGTGCATCTCTCAATCCTGCCATCTTTCTCATCACACTTCCACGTCACACCCACAGACTTTAAATGTTTGCTTCAGGCAACAGGACAAATATTCATAAAACTTAACACTATTTCTTTATAAGCCTTTGCTTTTTTGTACTGATTTGTTTAGCCTCTGTGGTGGTTTGAATAGAAATGGCCTCCATAGGCTCACATGTTTGAATCTTGGTTGTCAGGGACTAGCACTTGAGAAGGATTAGGGCATGTGGCTTTGTTGTAGGAAGTGTGTCACTGAGCGTGGGCTTTGGGGTTTTAGAAGCCCCAGGTGAGCGCAGTGGCTCTCTCTTCCTGCTGCCTGGAGTTCTGGATATAGAACTTTCATCAGCATCATATCTGCATGCTTCTACCATGATGATAATGGACCAAACTGCTGAAACTGTAAGCCAGCCCCCAAGTAAATGCTTTGTTTTCTAAGAGTTGCTTGGGTCAAGGTGTCTCTTCACAGCAACAGAATACTAACCAAGAGAGCCTCCATCTTCCTCAAACATAATGTTGGTGGCTTAAGAACATGGATATTTGCTGGCACATTCTGAGGCTGAGCACAGCATTCAGCCACAGTATGAGCAGAACAGGAACTCAGAATTTTCATATTAGAATTTCCTTCTTTGTGAAAATACACACAATAGGAAATAACACAGGTACATCTTTACCTTTAAAGTAAGGCCCAAGTCCTAACGATTATCAATACATCCACATGCCTACAATGTACTTCAGTGGTGATTCTCAGTACCCTCCCACCCTCTGTGGAAGATCTTATATTCCAATAGGAACTGCAGAAAATATCTAATAAAGCCTAATGAACACTTTAAAAAATGTTTACAAAGGTCTTTGTCGAGACAAATCCAAAGAAAACCAACGACGCATTCTCGAAGAGACTCCACTTACTGCTTCTTCATGCTCCTTCCAACAGTCGTAATCGGTTGCCATGGCAATGCTTGCATAACAAATTCCAGCCTCCTTAGCGAGCACCACCTCTGGAACAGTGGTCATATTGATAACGTCTGCACCCCAAGTACGGAATATAAAGCTTTCAGCCCGGGAGCTGAAACGAGGCCCCTCAATTGTGACTATTGTCCCCTTTGAATGGCATCGAAGTCCAAGTTTCTTAGCTGTTTCTATGAGGACCTAGAAAAGGAAGAACAGAAATCACACAAACCTACGTGCAGTCCACGATTTTATTCTTTTGCTTTTGCTATACTGTCCTTAGGGAACCCAGATTACTAAAAGATACCATCCAGCCCCGTACTCACATATTCAAGTCTACTGCAAGGCTTAGCTCGGAGCTTTTAGAGAAAACACACCAGACTTTGATTTATAGCCTTGAATCTCAGGAAGACTAAGCCAGGGCTTCAATCTGGACCTGTGTCTTAATTCTTGACCCATCACACTTGCTCAGCTAAGGAATCACTTCTCATGCACAGGTTAACGTGCTGGCCAAATGTCATTCTTCAAGGTGCAGCTGTCTAGTCACTGTTCTTTTACACGGACTCTGTGGCCTTTTGGAAAGCGCTGCCAGGAAGTCTTTTTTTTTTTTTTTTCCCCTTTCTTTAGTTTGCTGTCTCTCTAAGGACATATGGTGAAATGAGCATGGCTCTCCTGATTTGTTTTTCCTCTCCAGAGATCAACTTATCTGGGTATTCCTTACTGCAAGGCCATGCACAGATTTTCAAAAACATTAGTTTTACTGGGGTGGGAGAGAGGGCTCAGTGGGTAAAACGTTTCTGCTTAAAATAACCAAGAATGGAGGTATTCTTAGCAACGGGAAACAGGCTCATTATGAAACCACTGCATTTCAAACCTAAAGCTGAAGGATGAAGAGGGACACCTCCCTCAGCCAACTGTTTTACCCGCTCTTACCATCCTAAGCCCTTATACTCTCTTCTGTTAGGCCTGTCAGAGAGACTACTAACCTCTCTTGTTTTGGGGCAAAACGGTTCAGCCATCGGGATATGGCAGACTCCTCTGGCGCTGCACTGAGTTCCGTCATAGAAGGTCTGAGGCCTTTGAGATGTCCTAGAAAGATAAAGTGGTTTGTACTTCTGAGAAAGCACCATCTCTGTCCTCTGAGGCTGAGCGAACCCACTGTGTCTAGGCCACTCCACATCCAGTACGTGTAGATAAGTGAAGGTAACTGTCGTAGAGCATCTTTCAGGTTCTAGCTCTGGGCTAACCGCAACCTACTCCTAACCAGGAATGAAAGTGTACCCACTGAGACGTCAGGAAGGGCAGGTAATAACCAATCAAAGAGAAACATTCCATCATGTGTACAGAAGACTGCAGAGAGATCTCGGTGTGCCATTGCCCAGACTCGCCACTAGTTTCCAAAACTGTGTTACACTCATTTATTTGTTAGCTTTTTCATAATTGTAACTTGTGAGCACTGACTCAGACAAAAACCAAGATCTCCCCAAAGTCTTAAACAAACAAAAAACTTGTTAAAACAATTGCTTTGTTTCAAGTCCATACACGGTCCATACCCGCACTTGACTGTCATGTACTTAAAGTAAAAATAATTGCTGCCTCAGCCCAAGTCACTTTTTTCCCAGGCCACTGATCCACTGAAGAAAGCAACTAGACTGTCCCACTCCACAGGGAATCTGTCTCTTGCTCAGTTTGTTTCTCCACCCACTGTAAATTTTCAAGTTTTTTTATTTCAAGTTTTTTGCTGTAATTTTTGTTTTTTCAATCTATGAAAGAGAGGCTAAAACAAACTCTCTGCCAGCTCACGCAACTTCTTCCTGGAAGCTTTCAGAAAAAAACTACAAACTACTTTTTTGTGTGCATCCCCTTGCCCACGCCTTTTCCTGCAGAGGGAGAGATGAGGGAGGGATGAGACACAGGAAGGCCGAAGGCAGAAAATCTAGTGTCTTTTTCCGGGACTAAGATTCAGACAGAATGGAAAAAAATCTTTTTGCTGGTTCCATTTATCCAGCTGGTACACATACTGTCCCAAATTAACTCTTCCTTGGGCTGTGTCATACCTAGTGACTCTAGCTGGCACCAAAGCCACCACTCTTGGAGATGAAGAAGCCCCTCTGCTGTGCAAGAAAGCAAGCCTCACCTCTACAATCCCCGACTCTCTTTCACGTGCCTGAAGAAATCAGAGTTAATCCCACAGCAAGCCCCACTGAGGCTGAAGAATGGGGCACACGCGGGCTCTAGCCTACACCAACAGGGTTTCCCCTGGAAGTCTGACCAACAAAACGGTGCTATCTTATCACCTCTGCCTGGTTTTCGTCCTTGATGAGTCAAGTTGTAGCAATGTGCCCACTTGCAACTGGGATTTTAAAGCAGGGACACTAAAACTTCCAGTAACTATGGCAACAGGCGTCCATGCAGGAACACCCGTGGCATTGACAGGTTCACCGATTCTCTGACTGCCCACATCTACAGTACATCTCACTAGGTTACTTGACACTTGTTGGCTGGCCTAATTCCCTCCTTCAAACAGAAGAGTTTATATTACCCGGCTGATATTTTTCTTATTAAATGAAGTTATCTAATTACCAGTTACACAGTTATAGCAAATTCTGTATATTTTGCATTCTACCATTTTCTAATAAAACGGTATTTGCTGCGCCTGGCACCATATGCTCTTGATTCAGGAGCCAGAGGCAGGTGGATTTCTTTGAATACAAGGCCAGCCTGGTCTATATAGTGAGTTCTAGGACAGCCAGGCCTACATAGTGAGACCCTGTCTTAAACAATAAAACAACAAACATAAAAAAATAGTCCACAGTGCTCACCCTGTCACTTATAAGCACAGTAGGAGAAATAAGTTAACCAAGATGCCCTGATAACTCCCAACAGAGACACCTCAAAGTCAGAAGCTGGCTGAGGACCCAGAGAACCTGACCCCAGGGAAGAGCGGTAAAGTAGCATTAAAAATCAATGCTCTACACCCCATGAAGATACACCTCCTTGTGGTGCCTGCACCACTAACTTAAGTGTCACTGTGCTCAGTGAAATGGTTAATGACCAAAACATAAACTGCTATAAACAGAACATCCCCATCCATTGTAAACTGAAGAACTATCCACGCTAAATGAATCAACAGAACAAGGGGTTTACAACCGCAGCCGAGAGATGTGCAAGGCCACCCTAAAGCAAAGTGCCTGTCATCTTTGGAGCACCTGCTTCCTCTGAGAATCTGTCAGAGAAACCAGCTGGATCTTCTAGAGTTCAACCCGAAGTCTGGAACAGTCTGGCAGACACAGCCTGGGAGCAGAGACTGCTGCCAAAGCCCAAAAGGTCACTCACTTCCCATTTCTAATCAAACCAGCTCGGCTGGATTCATAATTATAGTTGAATTTCGTAGTTCAGTTATAGGCTGGGTGAGACAGGCATGAGGTGTAGTTTACCCTTTGGTTTGAAAAAAAAAAAAATTTAACCAATATGTCTTATATAAACTCCTTAATAGCCCAAACTCCATATGCAATATTTAAAGCAAAATCCTTACAGCAACATACAGGACTTGTACAACCTTTAGATTTCTATATTGAAATCCTACCCCTGGAGGTCATACTATCAGGAGGCTAAGACCAGGTCATGAGGAACAGGCACATAGCATACTCATGACTGGTCCTGGGGCCCTCACAAAAGACAATTCAGGGAACTAAGTTATTCCCTTTTTACTCTACGAGCACACAGCAAGACGACATCATGAAAGCCAGCTCTTATCAGACACAACATTCACTGACACCTTTTCTTGACCTCAGCATTCTGAGAAATTTCTGTTGGTGAGCAGCCAATCAGCCTATAGCATTTTGTTGTAACAGCTGAAAGACTAAAATATTCACTTGCACCCTTGCTTAAACATGGAAACAGCAGCGAAAACTTCAGTGGCTACCCCTCAATGCAGTCAGATGCAATTGCATCTTAAAAGTTACGTTTGGGTAAAGCCAACCCCAAAAGATGGCCACAGGTGTATTCCCAGAACCTGTGATTACTTTACCGTACACGGCAGAAGGAAACAAAGGTAGCAGATGGCTAGTATGAAGCTTACTTCAAAGTAGAAAGATAATTCTGAATTAATTATTGGGGAGCATCATTATTACAAGGGTCCTTCCATGTACAAAGGGGTAGCAGATGTGTAGATGTCAGATAAGAACTTCATCCACTAGTGCTGGCTCTGGATGGATGCAGGCCATAGGCCAAGGAATGGTAGAGGACAAAGAGTCAGAAAAGGGACTCCATCATAAGCGACCCCTAGAGAGTAATACGACATTGCCAACAGCTATTTTCTTTAGAGCCCCAGTGAGACCCATGTTAAACTACTAACTAACTAAGAAGATGATAAACTTGCAGTAAGTCCCTAACTTCGTAATTCATTTGTTACAGCAGCGATAAGGAGTGGATATACTCATTTCCATAGTTTTATGTATGATCAACCCCAGCTATGGCTTCTCTAGCAGCAAAGACTTACTGCCTAAGGTCTGCTCCTTCTACCAAAGTAAAGAAATTCATTTTGCCTCCTGATTAAACACAGATTTCAGGGAACTACGATCAGGCTGGCTTTACTGCTCACTGGCTGTCTGCTTCTGGGAAAGTCACTCTGATCTCTGCACCTCCGATCTTCCTGTATTTAAAAGGGTGGAGGGGACAAAGCCACTTACCCTGTGTGGGCTGTGTGAGGGTGGAATGAGATAATATAATACAAGGTCTGGCCTTCGCCACTGCTACACATTGGACATCTGCTTCTGTATTCTCTTTTGCCAAGATGGGAGTTTGCCATTTGGAAGGGGCTCAAATCAAGGAAACCTCTAAAACTGCTTCAGGCTGCCAAGCAGGGGTGGATGTCCTTCTAGCTTTGTCTCCGTTGATGTGACCAAATACCCTGACACAAAGCAACTTAGGAGAGAGAGGGCTTTAGCTCCCAATTCCAGGCTACCGGCCATCACTGTGGGGGAGGGACAGCGACAGAGGCTTGAGATTATGCGGATGGTTATAGCACATCCACATAATACGGCAGAGAGAGCATGCATGTGTGCCTGCAGGGGGCTTTCCCCTCTCCTGCTATTCAGAATCCCTGCCTAGGGAATGAGTACTGCCCACAACTGACTAGCTCTCCCTGTAGTCAAGACAACCACCCATAGGATACACCCAAAGGCCAACCTGACCTTGGTAATTCCTCATTGAGACTCTCTTCCCACATGGTTCTAAGTTGTGTTAAGGTGGCAGGTAAGACTAAGCGCACAGGTGCTAAAACAAAAAGTATTTTTTTTTTGGGGGGGGGGAATCCAAGATGGCGGCGACCAGCACGCACTGTTTCTGAGAGACAGAAGATTTAAAACTCCAAAATTGGTGAGTGAAGGGGCAACTGAAGCTAGAAAATCAACCTGTGGCTTCCTGAAAGAGGGGACATCACAGGAGCAGAGAACATTTAGGTTCAGTTCAGACTTCTCTGGGAACGGAGAGGGACAATTCCCTTGTATGGGCCTCCCTCCTTCTCGGGGTCGGAGACAACAGGGGCAGGGCTCCTAACTACTCAGCCACAGCGGCCATGTACCTACCCCCGAGTATCCACCCACCACCCAGCATCTGCCTGCCACCAAGTACCAGCCAGCAAGTACCTGCCAGCTGAGTCCCAGCCTCGAGTGGCCACACCGACTCTGCAGACCTGCAAAGCCACCCAGGTATACCAGATGCCGGGCCACCTGGTCTGTGGACCACTTCTGTGTCTCCCCAGGACTTCCCAGCAGGCACCTGGACACTCCAGTTCTGCAGCCGCAGCTGGACTCCCCAGTTCAGTTCAGCAGCTGCTGCACCACTGAGCTGATTGAGCTCAACCTGCCACATTTGACTCAGCAGGCCCAACCCCACCAGTAGAGAACAGGAGGAACCCCTGTGCTTTACAATTTGACCTGCTAGAGAGTGAGTGCTCCCTCAAGTATCTACAGAGCCCCAGAGCCAGGCAGATCCCCTCCCACCCACACATATACTGTGGGAAACAGAGGGTTTCTTGGGACACTGAAACCCCTGCTCTGCAGATCTACCAGAGGAGTTTAGGCAAA